TGTCTGGTCTTTTATAACCCGGACCTCGAACTATTAGGGATATTCGACACACGATGTTTACAATGCGATACATTGAATCCGATTCTTTGAAGATGTATTGATATACTCGATACATTGATTTTTTTTGTAAAACATCAAAAGGATGATAAAAGCAGTTAATTTTACAAAAACTAAAGATTGAATGGATCACTATATTTTAAAAATAAAATAATTTTTTTCAGCAGCACAAGACTACATACAATTAAAAAGACAACAAAAATACTGCAATGTGCTACTGAAAAGGAATACACTCAGCATTTATCAAAATCGATCAAAACGAGATTAAGTTAATTTCGAGTTTGATTATTCTTAAACGTTAATTTGTGTTTATAATTTCTATTGTTTATTTTTAATTTAAAAAACTATGAAAAATAAAATATTTAGAGTGTTTATTTTGAAATTAATTCAAAAATTAGGAAAAAATCGATTAATAAAAAAATCGATTATTTTTTTAAGAAAAATCGATTATTTATTAATCGATTATTCATGCTACAAAAATAATCGATTAATAAAAAATCGATTTTTTATGCAGAATGTCACATCCCTAATCGGTAGTGACTGAACAACGTGTTTGGGTTTGTTACATCAAGCTCTTGAGTTTTTTAACTACACATCAGACATGGCTTCAACATTATGACCCAGTGACTATGAAATGAAAAAACAGTCCATGACTTGGAAGACACCGTCGTCTCTAACTCCGATACGGCAATTCCACCCGCCGGGAAGGTCATGGGTTGTTTTTTCTGTGCCAGCCAATCGACGTTGTACGCAGGATAACAAAGTTGCGTGAGGAAATACGCAAGCAAGGGCGTGGCAAGATCACTAGGGTTGTTTTGTTTCGGCCTAGGACCTAGCTTTTAGTGGTTCATGGTAGACAGCAAACATCAGATAGTTTTGTTTGCTGATGACACGTCCTTGATTTTTAAAATCAAACGACAAATAACAAATTTTGACGATGTGAACAATGCTCTATCTTCGATTGTCCATTGCTTTAGTATGAATAACCTTCCACTTAATGCAAAAAAGACAAAATGCATTAAATTTTGTGCAAAAAATGCAAGGGTTATGGATACTAGACCAATTATAAACGGTGAGGAATTGAATATATATACATATTTACATATTTTCTTCTGAACATAAGTATTTGTTGTCTTCTATACTCTCGCAAGGGCTCAACACATTTCTGTATTTCAAACCATTCACCAAAAGGTAAGGATATTTAGGAATAATTGTGTAAGTTTTAGAGGATTTTGTTATAGGAATGGGAGTAACCTTGTAATAGTTATACGTTTCTGATTCTATCAAAGGAATTTCTAATACAAATACTAATTTATTCTTATCAATATAAGACTTTAATATAATATTACGTTCTAATTTAAGTAAGTTGTTTTTTGTTACTGGATAAATTGTTTGTGCATGTTTTTCTATCACTTTAAAAACGCCTAATAACTGTAGAATTAATAATAGATTGGTGTAAGGTGTGCAATTTACTGAATGCAATAGCAGTTTCAATTTTTGTATGCTCTCATAAATGTAACGAAAGTTATTTAGAATCTGGTATTTAACTGTAATTCTACTATTCTATTTAGTTATATATATCTATGCATATTTAATTCTAATTCTTCCTTAATAAGTTTAATATCTAATGTCTTAATTATTATCCACTTATCATATGAAATAAGGGCGGTTTCTTCTCTGAGAGGGAGAACGCCTGGATTCTTCGCAACCTTTACCTACGAGGACTAACCTGTGGGGGACGTTTTATGTCCTTAAACAATGATCGATGCGCTTTGTTGTCGTAATAAATGAAATAATATTTAATTTTAGGTTTAATATATTCTTTGAGGAATTCCGAATTATTTAATGGTAAGTATATTTCTGAAATATTTTGTTTTGGATGAGATTTAATTTTAACAAAGAGTTCATTTTTATACCATGTATGTGTTAAAAATAGTTTTGGTTTAGTATTTATGGCTTCTTTGAGGATAGGAACTCTTTTTGTAGTCATATCATCTGCGGAATGTACTGTGTCTGTACTAGAGTTACTTGTTAGTGTACGAGATGATGACCGGGAATTAATTCGAGATGGAATATCACGTTCATCTATACGACCAGTTGTTTCAGACGTAGATGCTTCAGAGAAAGACATAGAATTACTATTTTCATTTTCTACATTAACTACCATTGATTGGTTATCTTTATCGGTTTTTCCTAGTGCATTTAATTTTGGAATAATTATATGAGGTAAATTTAGTTTTGTATAATTTATTTTTATCTTTTCGGTATTGTTGAGGCTATCATAAAAAAATTTCCTATTTGTTCATGGTTCGAACTAGTCGGGTTCGATTCACAGTTATAAGAACAAGATGGTTGAATATTATTATCAGTATCAGTGTAATTAACGCGTCTTGAACTGGCTGTTCTCATCGTAATATCGGTATTGGAGGTCGATGGCATAGGCGATTCTTGGTATTGTAATCCATTGTTCGTAAAATGCCGACGCTGCTGTGACGACGACTGTTTTACTGGTGACCTAAATACCGTGTTATAATTGTTGCGATTATTTAATGTTTTATCATTTCTAAATTGGAAAGAATTATTATTTAAATAATTTGAACTATTTGAATTATTTTGATAATTAGATGCATTCGAGTTCCTTTGGACGTTATGGGTTGGAGAATTATAATTATTAACTTGTCTCGGATGAGAATTCCTATTTTGAAATGAATTAAAATTATTATAATTAGGTCTAAAATTTTGATTGGACCTTGGGTTCTTACTATCATAAACCGTTTGAAAATTTTGTTCTTCCAACACGGTTTTTAAAGCATCTTCCAGCGTGGTAACATTACGTAATCTCACTAATCTTACAAGGTACGCTGGTAAATTAAATAAGAAAACGTTTAATGCATAATTATTATATATCGCTTGTTTGGCCTGTCTTATTTCGGGGTTGTTAATGGTTTCATTTATTTTGGAGAATAAAATATTCCTTAAATGTTGAACACGATGACAGAAATCTAAATGACTTTCGTTCTTATCCTTTTTTAGGGAATCTAATTCCATAGCCAGACAATCTTCTGACCTTGGATCGCCAAAGTGTTGGCTTAATAATAACTTAAGGTTATCCCAAGTATCTATTTGTTCCCGTTCCCCAACTAGACTTGCGGCTTTCCCGGATAATCGACTAGTAATTACGTGAAACAGATATTCATTTTGTAAATTGCCACCTTGAAATGTCTGTAAAATATATTCGCATTTTTTAATGAATAATGGTAATAATCTAGAATCACCATCAAAAACAGGAATAATTTTTACCATTTCTACAGGTACTCTTACAATATTTTCCATTTTGAATATAAAAAAAAAATTACCTATAAAATAATTGTATAAACCTAACTTCTATTAACAATATTTTGATTGTTTAATGAAAATATTTTTCCGGCGTTTTCCAATCCGAAATAAACGTATAACTAATACAAGAGGAAAACAAGGAAAGTCACGGGAAGTGAAAAGTTTTACTCACAGTCCTGTTATCTTGACCATGCTCCTCCGGGATACTGCTAGTTCTTGGCTGCTCTTCCACCGATGCCGTGCTGTCCTTAACTTATTTATTTGTTCGGCGATCTCCGTTAAAACGTTAAAACGTACGTTACCCGGTTGGTACTAGATCACGAAAAAAAACGCGGTATAACTTCTTCCAGGCAACTATGGAGATCCTACCGGCTGCGCCAGTAAAGGAACGGCAACGGACTTTTGGTTTAAAAATAATTTATTTAAATCAACAGAGTGACAGCACTTAATTAAGAACTAAACAATAATCAACTTAATATCTATTTCTTCATGCATTTATACATTCAGATTTACTTACACTACATTCGGCTTAGTGCTAGCAAAGCATAATATATTAATAGGGTTGGTACTCTTAACTCGCGCGCATCGTAAAATTTCACTCTCATAAATTTTTCATAACGCGCCTAAAGAAGTATAACTTCAAAAATTAACTCACTGATGTCGATACAGCTAGACTTGTTTATTTTAGTTACTTTCATAGCTTAATGACTTATGGCTTATTATTATGGGGTCATGCTGCTGATGTCGAAACTATTTTCATCCTGCAGAAGAGGGCTATTCGTGCAATCTATAATTTAAAATGTAGGGAATCTCTTAGAGATAAATTTAAGGAAATTAATATACTTACCTTTCCCTCGCAATATATTTATGAAAATATTATGTATGTATACAAAAATAGTGATAAGTTTACTAGAATAGAACATACGCACAATGTTAATACACGGAACAAACGCAGGCTGCAATTTCCCCGTACTAGACTATCTAAAGTTAGTAATTCTTTTTTGGAAAAGGGATACTCTTCTTTAATAAAATCCCAGAGGCTCTTTTATCTCTGCCTTTTAATAAATTTAAGAAATGTATTAAAGAAAAGCTGTGTAAAAAGGCTTACTAAAAGTTAACGATTATCTAGTTGATAAAAGGGCCTGGGACTAGTGCTAGACAGGCTACTTCTAATTGATTTGCGATATTTGTTTTAAAATAAGTGTTGTTTGATGATTTGCTATTTTAAAAGAGTACCGAGAGTTTATTACTCCGGCTTTTTCTCTCGGCCTACACCCTCTGTCTTCTTTGCCGATGAGTAGGGATGCCTACAAATTCAAATTTAATGACGTGGAATAAGTGATACATGTATCTTATGTTCCATAATAAACATATTTTATTTTTATTTTTTGATGATAACGCAGTATATCACTTATATTAATACGAGCAGGAAGATGTTTTTTAAAAGGTTTAGCTTTAGAAGAAAAAATATATTATATTAACATTTAATACAAGATAATTGTAATCGTCAATAATCATTTTCACTTTTTATTGGACAAAAGTAATAAACATTGTAATACAAATAAATCTGTCTCAGTTTAACTTATTTTTAATGCTATAAATCCTGTTCACCACCAAGGCATTTCGTATAGGTGCTGCTCCCCCAAAGTATAGTCATGGCGAATCCAAGCCCAAGGGTGCGGACGAGGCGCAGCCCACTGAGTATCCTCGAAGCGGTAGTCTAGGTACTCGTAGGGTAAGCGGCCCATGTAGGCCAGGTAAAGGAAGTCTAACACGAAGTGGCAGTCCAGTACTGTATAATAAAGGTTGATTGTAGGCTCGCGGAGCCGCATGGATACCGTGAGCATGCCCACCAGCCCGTCGTAACGCTTGTCATAGCCGTCGTGAGTGCGAAATAGCGTACTACCAGAATCCATGCCATGCTTTGCCCACTGATGGCCCTCGATGCAGATGAACCAGCCCCACTCCTTTTTCGCACACGGCCCGTATTCTTCTGTACGGACAAAGTATTTGTGAAAAGGCGTGGGCACGCGGTTGTAGCTCCACATGAACTGGTAACCCACGCAGTATTGAATCTCGCGTCGCTCGTGTCCTCGAATAGGTGACGGTGATGCCTGTTGTGACCAGCTCGACGATGCGCGTGGGCAAATACGTGTAGTGCTCTTCCATAGGTACCACCCGTACACATTATAGGTAGACGCCAGCACGGCAAGGTCAAACGTCGCCGGTAGCGGGTGAGAACGGTTTACATTCTCTGGACGTTGAAACTGTATGTGTTGGCAAAAATAAGACTGGTTAACTAAGATATTCACATTATATACATATACGGTATAATCTAATCATTATAATTAAAATGTCTTAAAAAACATCGGTATAGTTACCTCTGGGTGGTAGTGAATACGCGCGATTGACATGTAGAAGGAGCTGTTATCAGCATATATGTTATGGTCGTACCACACGCCTAGTATATTTTCGAGCGAACGCTGGCCCCTGTGCCCCCGCAGCACTAGCTCCACGGAAGAAGCCGTCGTCAAGAAATGGCGTGTCGTGATGACGGCGCACGTGGCGAGCGGCGTCAAACGCTTGTATACTGTGCAGCACGTGCAACCCATGTTGTCTGCATAATCCTGAAACGGAAACTTTTAATTATGTACTGAAAAGAGATAATTAAATATAAGTTGACTTTGAGATTACCCAGGATGGAAGTAAGCCGACTTTCTTGCGGTGCGGCGATAAGCGGTAGGGACGATTTCTCTCGCGCATATGCAGCTTATACGCTACCCAGAGAGGCTCTTCGGCGCGATAATCGGGCGTATCTTGCTGTGGATCCGGAATTTGCTGGCCATCATCTAGCAGGGACGACATCGTGGTTTGGGTCAACCACCAATGTTGATGAATCTTCTCGATGGGTGGCATGGTGGGTTGGGTCGCTACCCACGCCGCCCACGTCGCCCACCAGACTGCCCAGCGGGTGCATCTGCAATTTTTGTTATAATTGATGGTTGAGTTAAGAAGAGCATTATTAATCATTCATCAGTGTAATGATTACCTATTATTAAATACTTCAAAAGACTGGGTCTAACCCATTACTGAAATTGGAATGACTAACGCTACGCGGACTCAGTATTATAATTAAATCATACTAACAACTCTATACATAATAATAATATATTTGACAATATTTGTACTAAATCAGCCAGCATTAAACATGACTTATAAGCCTTACCCAAAAGACATAGTCCGTAAGATTTCGGCTGCTGTATGCTTCAGAATATTCTTAGCATCCTCTCCTGAAACGGAACAAACGCACGCACGTTCTAGCAATCGTCACGTGTACCCCGGAAACTTCTTTCTACTACTTTAATATTTGCATAAAAGTCACTCTATCTATTAACTGAATAATTAAAATAAAACAAGTTCACGACCATGTAGACGGGAACATTGTGCTCATACTCGATATCTCGAAAGTCAGTTGCAAATACGAGAAACACGAAAAGAATCTTACAATATTATGAAATTGTTCTCGATCTTTGTAGGAAATGTTTTCTTCAACATCCGGGCTTGACTTATGCTAGCCATATCTCGAAGGATCAAATGAAATTTGTTAAGGTACTGATTGCTTGAATTATTATCATAACGAGGCAGCTGCTAATTAGGCGCACGTGACGCCTTTCGGTGATACCTCGACATTAGAGAGCACACTAATCGCTCAAACTATAACAAGATAATGACGGACTCCTATTACCAAATCACATATTAAAATTAAATTCTCTGAGCTGCTGTAGTTATAATTAAGTTAGTCAGTCCGTCAGAGCTTTGCGAAGGGTAATGTATCAGAAACTATAAAAAAATATACCCACAAAACTTATGATGGCATATCATAGTGGTTGACGTCAAACGCCACGGCCAGCCGATTGTTTTGCCAGTAGAAGAAATTGGGTAAAGTTTGAGTTGTATTAAGTGAAAACGTGGTCTTGCCGGCTCAATAAGTTAAAAAAATGTAATGGAAAGAGAATGGACCTTTGGCTACGCGCTTAGTTTGCGTCTTTCGACTCGGGAAATTTCGTATAGTTTCCGATTTATGAAAAGTGATAAGTAAATAAATCTATTCTAAATAGAAAATAAGAGAAATAACTAAATCTTGTCAACAATTTTTTATTTACGAAACAATTACAAAGCTTGAAAATAAAAAGATTTAATTTTATAATAACGTTTTTAATCAATAAGTAGGCATTTAGGTAGACTAAAATCACTAAAAGGATTTAGTATCTTTTCAAATTCATAAGCCAAATGTAACCAAAACACCAAAAACCGAAAATTCATTAACTCAAAATGATGACTGTTCAATCAATATTGTTTTTGACGTTATACTTCTTTTGGCGCGTTAGGGGAAAATATTGAGAGTAAATTTTTATGATACGCGCGCACACCGGTCCAAAATACCGACACCCTGAAGTTAGTATCGTTTTTTCTACAAACGTAGAATTAGTTTTTTAATTTTAGAATTTTAATCTTGTTACGCCAAAGAAGTATAACTTCTAACGCGTGTACAGTACACACACGTTTTTTTTTTATTTGAAAAAAAATTTGGAAATCAAAGTGAGAAATAATAATCATATCCGTATAATTTCTTGTTTTATACTAAAAATGGATTTAATTGGTGAATAATACTTAAAATCTTTTAGTAATCATTTTTTAAAAATTTCTTTGCTTCGCCTGCGTCGCGTAGTGACTTCCATTCACAGCTTTGACGTCGCTCGGAACACACTCTCGAGGTCGAGTCGAGCGAAGTTTTTTATGGAATTAATATAATAATTAAGACATTAAGGCTTATTGTGATTGATGAATTATTTAACATAATTTTATATTTTATTTATTTGTATAGAAACCATAAACAAAATTATCGTTGTATCGTTCGGTATTGCGATTCCAATACGTTTCAGTTTATAGGAGGTCATGGTACGAAAAAATACGATTAAATTAAGGAACCTAAACTCATAAGCATCTCAACTGGATCTTTTTAAGAAAGTTCATGGTAGGCCCCAAGTTGTCGACGAATTACTATTGCTAATGTATTCATATATATAGGTAAGCGCCACCTCTCATTATTGGGTTATACAAGCGAGGCATAATAATATTCAGATTTGAACCGCTTCGGGTTGTGATTTGCTTTTGTTTTGTAGGAGCGTTACGAGAGCGCGCCACTTACCACATATCAAAATAATTAATTCAATGAATTGGGGGTAGTTTTATGAGATAAAGTGTCTTTTCATTGAAGGGTTACTCCCTGTAGTCTCATATATTCATGGTCTATATCTGAAGTACGTCAACACCAAAATAATAATAAATAAAGTTCTCTACAACGATAAAACTTTAATTTTTTTAGAACTTTTATACTTAAATACTATAAAGTATAAACCGGGTATGTGAACTGCTTTTGAAATTCAAATTATGATGGAGGAAGTAAAACTTTTGATATAAATTGATAAAGATGGTTTCACTACTAGTTTGCGTTCATACCAGGAGTAGGCACTAGGCACGCGTACGTCCACGAATAGCTCTGCGCCGGTTTTAGCGTGCCTTTACTATTTTGAGCTCGCTATTTCGGGAATAGTATGCGGATTGCTGATAGATTTTTTATTTTGTTTTCTTTTATGATTGAATTTATTCTTACAGATCGGAGTTTATGAACTAGTTTTAGTGATTTTGTAGAAGCATGATACTGGTCGCTAGTATTTTCTTACGTATACTTTTATTGAACATTGCCCAAGCGCAGACATTGCTGACGCGATTCAGGCGTGAACTAAAAAAAAACACCACTGAGCTCATAGCTCACTTAACAAATGCTAACAAAGTTAAGATGTGCTTTTAATAAAATAAATTAGTTTTGAACATTGCCTTGTCTTGTTTATTTCCACACAAGACACGTAAGTAGTCCAGACTCCTTCAAGTTCTTATTATTGTGGTGAGCCAAAGATGGTCTGACAGCTTCCAAAAGAATGAAAGATCAAATCCCACCCGTAGTTGAACCTTGTTACAGACATCTATTAATGGTTATGGTTAAAACTTACAACCCCAAGGATAGGGTTTTTAGCTTCACCCTCATAATAATTTTAATAAAATTGGTCAGTTTTAACACTACATTGATCAAATGTAGACGTCTCTCACACATAAACAGAACTTTCAGACCACTGGCTGGCAAGGCTTTAGAGTCCATTTACAATAACCTTAAGAGTTTAGGGACACGTAATCGAATTTGATTGTATTTTTTGTAGTTTATGTTAATCAAGATATTTAATCCTTAAAAGAATACAATAACCGCTTATGATAATGAGATTACATTTAAGCTTAAAAACAACAAGAGATTATTAAGATTTATGTGGTTCTAAAAATGGTTGATATCGCAATTTAAAGAAAATATGTTTCATTCATACATGTATTATTTACATCGTAGATATGTACAATATTTACAAACAACTTTATCACAAATGTTCGTCACGAACCGATAGCAACAAGCGTGCCTATTGTAACGATTTTGAGAAGCGCGACGAGCGACGGAGCGGAACTGAGGCGTGGCTCGGGCTCATCTCGCTGCATCTCCATCTCACCGTCTGTAACATTTAGCCAAATATTTGAAATGTTTGCATTCGTCCTACTATAATAATACAGAACGATAATTAATGAACATACCTATAATATCATCGTCTCGATCGTCCCCCTCCCGACGATAGAGGCGTAACGAGATCGTCGCGCAGTCGGCGGGTGCAGCGCACACGTACCGACCCGCATCCTTCACCACTAACGCCGCCAAAGTCAGCCGCGACTCTAGGCGAGTCTCCCACCGTTCTGTCTCTAAAGAGATGCCGCCTCTTGCACTCTGCACTCAATCGAAAATGATTATAAAAAAATATACTAACTGACTTAACTTATAAATGATTATAAAAAAATATACTAACTGACCATACTAATGAACACTTAGATATGGTATACCTGTGGATTAAGAGCTTCGCCATTATGCTCCCAATGCAACGTGAGCGGGGGTAGGGCAGCGAGAGCGGCGGCAGGAATCGCTGCCAGTGCGGCAGAAGGCTCGTAGCGTGCCTCACACGATAGTATCGCCGAGCCGCCCAACACCGCCCGCTGCACTGAGCCGCTCAGCACCGACACGGATACCACTGGCAGGTCCCATTCTGCAACAAAGAGACGTCTCACTTTCACCTTTCAGATGATTCCTATAATGATAAAAAAATTAACGCAAATGACACAAACCGATAACAGTGAGGTTGAAGAAGAGACTCATTTTAGGCTCAGTGTTAATTTGACACTCGTAACGGCCAGAATCGCTGGCTCGGAGCACTTCTATCCGCAGTGAGTGGACGGTGCCACGTGGGTCTTCTTGAGAGGCTGCAGCGCAGGAAACGCGAGTATCGGCCGTAAAAACAGCGCCGGCGTGTGTAAGGATCTGTAGATCGCTCGATCGCACCCACGAAACCTATGATTATTGAATGTTCCGTTTATTTACTTTTCACTATACTTTAGCACTCCAGTCTCCAGACTATCTAATAGTCGAAGGGAATATACGATAGGAAATTTAAAACTGTAAAGCTAAAGAATTTTATCGGGTAAATCAATTGTACTGTATTCAATTACATAAATCCTTCAGAGCCACTTACAGTCAATAATTTACATAATCTTCTATAATCTATTAATTTATTGCTCCGGGAAAGGATTAAGTATATAATGGAATATAAGGCTGTGGTTAGTAGAAATATTAAAAATCGCAATTTCTTTACTGACTGACACAGATCGTTATTGTCTAATTATAGAAATTCGACCTTAGCAGGAGAATTAAGGAAGAAGGTCCAGATTTTTGTAAACAAAAACACTAGCAACCAACCAATAGTAAACCACGTACTTTGTGAATAACATAGGTATATAATATATTACCCAAACAAGTAAGACTATTTCCTGGTAATCAGACTTGCAAAGTAATTCGGAGAAGAAACGGTCGAATGCAAACATTTTTTTACGAATGCTGCCTTATATTACTAACGATGAGAGAGATATGATTAAGCTTAATGATACCTATAGATGTCCTTAGGTTGTAATTACTTTTAGATCAGGTTATAACACACTACCGTACTCACAGCGCGATCGGCAAGCCGCAGAACGCGACAGTGAAGTTCCACGCTACCTCCGGCGCTCGCCACTACCGTCGTCTGCTGCGAGCTGTCGAAAGCCGGCCCCGATCTGCCGCCGCCATCTGTAATTTAAGCCCTGCATTTTAAAAGAAAACTTTCTACACAAAACTACCCGGCGTCGAACGCAAGCATTAGAAAATACCTTTTAATATGACACGGGATGTAAATCTAACAAACACTTTGCCTTGCGTGGCAAGGCAAACTTAGGACTCAAAAAAATACAATAGCGTGCGCAACAAGTACGGTACACACATCCGTCGAACTAACAGAGGTCGTAGATTCTTGTAACACAATAGCAGCACTTTCAAGTCCACCCGCAGCTTCGGATGTAACAAGAGCTTTGATGCGGGTCTTAGGTTGCTAAAACTTTTAAATTTTTGGTGAATTATAAACCCTAAATATCCAAACTAGTAGAGTCAGGCGTGGAATTTCGCTTTTTTTTGTGTTCGTCGTATTATTCATATATTGTTATGCAAATTTCATTAAACGCTGCTTTCGTTTAAATAATTTCAACTAACATAACGAATAAGGGTGTGAAATTTATCGTTTATTATTATTTTATTATTAGGGATATATTATTTACAATAAGATTTTAACGCATGGGCTCGGTAATTAATAAAGGGGACACAATTGAATGTAGTAATAAAATCAAATCAATATCTGAAATGAAACATTAAACTTCTAAGAAAAACCTAGGAAACGGGTGAAGGTCACGTCAACGTGTGCGTAGACCTACGAAAGGCCCGGCCTGTGGCGATGTAAACAACTTTGCTTCCAGCAGCTCTAAAAAGATTAAAGGAATCCATTAAAACTGTTTACCCTCTACCGTGGCGCCGCACGCGCGCCTGATTATTTACTGTGAGAAATAAGTTATGGCCCATGATTAATATTTCATGAATATCTTCTTTCGTGACGAGTTTGATATACAGTATACACACTACACTCCACGCAAGAGACTAAGAAAAAACTACGGCAAGATGTTATCTTAGGATTGGACGAATAATAAAATAAACGCAACAGCTTGTTGGATACTCGTTGATTATTGTAGTATCCACATTCCATACACCGAAAAGTGATGATGACATCGGGTGGAGAGACAAGACGCGAACAAAGCGAACATCAATCAAAGCGTCAATTGTCATTCGCCGCGCGGTGTTTGTTTACTCTTTGTATTGACGTCGTGCATTAAGGCCGCGACGAGTCGACGAGGTACTAAACGGTGTTTTAGCTTTAAGAGATGGACTGGTGACAAATCGTTTAAAACGGCGAGCTCTTGTAAGAGGCGGCGGTATTTATCGGTCGGATCGCCGGATGAAGCGACCATCTGGTGCTGACTCACCCGCTCAGGAACTACACTTCGCGATCCGCAATAAAAATATTTCTTCTCTTATAATGACATTCCCCACTCGCGTGCCAAATGATTTCATTTGGGCGGATATATCTATTTTTGCGAAGATATCGAACGGAAGCTCGCCGTGAATGCCGTTCCCCCTCGCCCCCGTCCCCTACTCTCGTTCGTAGCGGCACGTGTCTCGACCAGAATAGAAATTAACCTTCTCGATACGTACTACGTATATTGACTCTCTCACTAAAATGTCACACCCGCCCCTTCAAAATAACTGATTTATTTAGAGATATAAATATACCACATTGAGAAATCACAAATTGAACGGCTAGTTACAGCATTATCGCTATTTTGCGAAAATATATTAAACTATTTTAAACATAATATGTATACACTATTGTCGGCAGCTACCATGTAAGACCAAAAGTTTATTATGAGTATAAGTAAAAGAAGTTTAGTAAATGGTGAGATTATATAATTTTGTCATTGTCAATCATATTATTATTATGATGTTTCGTATACGATATAGCTAGGGGCTAATAATAGAACTAACAATAATACAATACAAATTTTTTTCTCTTCGACTTCAAGCACAACCAATTGGTTTTCGTTAATCAAAATTAACATAAAAACAGAGCGGTCCTATACTTACATACAAAATTTGAAAGAATTGAAACTTGTAACGAGAGTTAAATTCAAATTTACTTCCTACAGCTGAAAATCACGATGGTCGTTCGTCGTTGTATTACGAAAAACATATTACGGATTTATCTCCACAACGTGCTTATAATAATAATATAGCTATAAGAAAGTGCATGTATCACTACCTCAGACTCTGGGCTCGATCGACGTTTAGGGCCTGAGCCTCGTTCGATACAATATGATGAAATCATTAGCAGTATTTCTCTGGCGCCAGCAAATGTTTGCGAGCTCTCAACGCAGAGAGATTTCGAGATAATATTATTCGTAATATGGACCGCGAGGTTGACGCTCGCCACTCGCCATGCGCACATAAATAGCGGCAACACGTGACATCCGCGGGGCTCACGTCCATCAGTGTAGCATTTCTATGAGTTGAATAGTAGACATACCCTTAGATGATACTCTTCTTTAATAAAATCCCAGAGGCTCTTTTATCTCTGCCTTTTAATAAATTTAAGAAATGTATCAAAGAAAAGGCTTACTATAAAGTTAACGATTATCTAGTTGATAAAAGGGCCTGGGACTAGTGCTAGACAGGCTACTTCTAATTCATTTGCGATATTTATCTTAAAATAAATGTTGTTTGATGATTTTGCTATTTTAAAAGAGTACCGAGAGTTTTTTAAGCCGGCTTTTTCTCTCGGCCTACACCCTCTGCCTTCTTTGCCGATGAGTAGGGATGCCTACAGTTTCAAATTTTATGACGTGGAATAAGTGATACCTGTATCTTATGTTCCATAATAAACATATTTTATTTTATATTTTTTTATTGATCTTATCATAGACGCTCCGACCCACAGAAAGGTGAGAAGGACAACAACACCACATAATATTAGAATCATTTTAAATTATACAAAATCCCTTTCAACTACAAAATCTGTTTCGTGTAAGACAATAGTAATAATATGTAAGATAGTTCGTTACTCGTTCGATACCCATAGTTAGCATGAGAGTAAACAATAATAAAAAAGTTAAATGATGAAGCACTAACCGGCAGGCTGCGACAACGCGGCCATTAACAGCGCTATCCACAGCAACATCGCAGTCCGGTGAGCTGATCACCTGCAACAAAAAGGCCTATTACTCTCGCATACTTATTGCTACAAATTAAAATACTTCAATAGATATAGTTATTGAGATATTGGTTAGGTATTAAGGCTATGCGCTCTCAGAAACTCAGCGCCAGTCCAATCATAAAGATAACTGTATATTCATGTTTAAACATTATTTAATACTCTCAAGTTGTGGGAAAAATCGTCGACGTTATCAGCAGCGTCGACCCCACATGTTTATTGAGTCACGTGGTGCGAGGTGTTCATAATGTGGCGACCACAACTTATAGAATTGTGACACACACAAAATGTACTTAACTGTGGCTGTATATAATTACTACTTACCGTAATTTGTAAGTGAGATAAACAAAGTTCATTAATTGCAATTATATTTTCAAAATCCACTACACTACTGACACATTAAAATTCAGCATTTAAATGGAATTAAGCATTTGAATAACAACGATAAACTAAATTTAGATTAAAGTTAGGACGGAAATCACGATTTCCAAATAGCTTTCATCATTATACGGTTCAGTTTAGTGACTGCTGTATTGGTGTACTGAAGTACATGCTCTCACGCTCGTAACATTGTTTATGCAATAAATCTCTGAAATCTCCTTTGCCAAGTAATAGGTAGGCATTCTGCCTTCAATCGCAATGTTTAACGCGGGATGTACAATATGAATCCACACGAATGTTATAAAGAGAAAAAACTTGATTATTTGCTATTGAAAGTAAATTAACCATTCCTACATTATATCTGATGAACAAAGGCTATAAGAACATTTAAAAAAACTTAGTAGGTATGATTGTTATAATAAATCACTTCGTATTTATTAAGGCTACAACAGTACCTGTAAATTAATTTTCGAAATTATTCAAATCAGACATAGTACGATTCATAAGTTTAACAAATATCAAAATTCTTAAATTTTAAGATACCACGACCTTAGTCATTGATGGTTTTATTTACAACACAGAATCAATACGACAAAATATCAAGCATTTTTCTCTGGTGAATGGGCTTTAAAACCTCAATTTACCAAGGAAGACGACGACTAAGACCTACGACCGAATTACCCGATTTGAACCGCCGAGATTAATCATTCGAGGTTAACTAGCAGTAGGAGACCAGGCCGCACGTCTTGGTTAAAGAATTTTTGCTAATAGTTTGGTTACATCACCAAGTCATTGTTCAGAAGCGCATCCAAAATTAAAGTGTGTAAAATTGTTTACCCTCTTTGAATAATTTGCCTGCCTGTAAACAAAAAAGTACGCTATGGCATACAGTAAAACAACTATAAGTAAGCGATCTAGCTTATAGCTTTTCAAATATAAATAAATCTTTATTTACATAATATATAGTATATATCCCATGAATTATGATCAAATAAAAACAATTTACACGCGAAAAAGTTAAATACTCTATGGGACTCGCTAAGTGGGTACTTAAAAACCGAAACTCCCCTACACCCTAAACCTATACCTAAAGCTCCTAAAGTGCTCATAAGCATGCTCATTAGTATACAATACGTAGGAAACAAAAGACCACGACTGAGTTTATGCCTCATGTCAGACTAATCTAGTTCAATGTCAACGCTCGGCTTCTTGTGTTATTGGACGTTAGTTTTTATATAATAAGAAGTATTAGGGTGGCCTGGAAGAGATCGCTTAGTAGCGATAAGGCCGCCGATCGCACCATGTTGATAAAGTTTAGCAACCTCCATAGCACATATCACATGATATTCTAGTAACACGTTAAAAAGTGACTTTTTACTGAAGGTATTTGAATCAAGCAATGCCGCTAAACATAATTTACTTGATTGGAATAGTTCAATATATTTCACAGCTTTTTCTAACTTCGGTATATGCTTTAGCTACAAACACTTACCTTACATGTTATGAACAATTGCGTAAGGTTGACACTTAGAGCAATATAAAAACGTCACATGAATTACACGGATATATAAATTTTACACTTTTAAATTCGCGCTTATTGCCGTTAACATGAGCGAAGTATCAATACCAATACGATTCTGTGATCAGCACGCGTCCGAAGCAAATCAACTCTCGCGACTGAGTACTGAGTACTGACGCCGCGCCGTATTCCCTAATCCCGGGCCCGAGCGAAACAGGGAATCCGGCGCATTGTTCCCTGGTACGGGACACGTGCACAGAACTCAATGTAAACATCACCACGAGGGTGGTCGGCGCGCTACAGGACGTGAACAAAATTAATTAATTCATTTATTTGATTTAAATATTCTCTCGTTAGTAACTACACTACCTAATGAACAAATACGTATAGTTATATTAGTTAGTAGTATATATTCTCAAACTCGTAATTCTTACAGGTACTTATTACTTTCTCGAAACGGCTCTCTATCGGCCTCTACCCAACTCGGTAGAGCCTTATTTCTCTGTTCTAAGTATGACAGAAAGAGTTAGATTTAATTTTAGATTGTATTGCATTATTTTATGTAAAACGATTTGTGTGCAATTATATTAATTAATTAATAAGTTCACATTTACTAAAATAGTTCTTCGACTAATGTCATTATTTTATGCAAACAGTAGCTATTTCTATATGATTCTTCCTTACTTTATAATGAAATGTAAAAAAGTTTTGTAGATTTATTTTTAATAATATTATGTAAACGCTTTAAGTAGAAAACTGTTTGGCGAAAATAGAAGAGAAAAATTTACGCCTGATGTAAAAGATGACACAAAATGTTCATAAACATCGCTCTTTCAAACATGTACTAAACAACACAACCTGCACGCGAAAGTCTCCCTAATACTTTTTAAAATTGGGTGATTGAATTGTCCTCACTTTAGCAGATAATATGTACCCACTCTACTAATGCAATACCTAATGCCACCCCAAAATATATTAAAACAAAAATAATCTGTATGTATATCATTATTCTATATTAAATTTTTTTTTGTTAAATACGTATGAAAACGTCACGTGTGTGTAAGCTAATGTCATTCCCATACAAATTCGTTAAGCGATAGTAGGTTGTCACTTGTCGAAAGGATTTTTCCTCAAGCCAATGGGTAACGTTGCCTCACTTACCTACCCGGCATCGTTCACACTATGACCTCGAAATGTATTATACATATACTTATATTTCATAAACCTACGTTTTTTTTGTCTTCCCAACAGCAGGAAGTCTGTCTACGTCACACTGTGGCTGACGATCCGTATAGGATGGAGTGTGGGTTGAGGCAGGGTGGATTGACTTCTCCCATACTTTTTAACTTGTATGTAAATGAGCTGATAGAGGAGTTAACCGGAACCAGAATTGGCTGTAACATAGATGGCATTAACCTTAACAATTTAAGCTATGCTGATGACATGGTGCTGCTTAGCGCTTCTGTCTGCGGGTTAAGAAAATTATTAGCTATTTGTGAAAAATATGCTGCATCCCATGGACTTATCTATAATGCCAAGAAAAGCCAAGTGATGGTGTTCGAGTCAGGGAGGAGGAGACTACAAAATGTGCCGACGGTTACTATTAACAACTGTGTTTTACAGCGAGTTAGTAAGTTTAAATACCTTGGGCACGTCCTACTCCCCGACCTCAAAGATAATGGCGATATAGAGAGAGAACGAAGAGCGTTGTTGGTGAGAGCAAATATGCTGGCTCGTAGGATTGTACGTTGTTCTCATGACGTAAAAGTCACATTATTCAGAGCATATTGCACTAGCTTCTACACGTGCAGCCTATGGGCCAGTTTCACTCGACAAACATACAACTCGCTTCGGGTGCAGTATAATAACGCATTTAGGGTGTTGCTAGGGTTGCCGCGCTTCTGCAGCGCAATAGGAATGTTTGCAGAGGCGCGGGTGGATTGCTTTTTCGCCACTATGCGAAAGCGGTGCGCGTCTTTGGTGCGCCGCCCGCCGGGTGCGGGGCAGCTCCAGCAACATCTTACGGATGATAATCGAGAGAATGGAGTGCCCCTATTTACGACACTGCTCCGACATCTCCGCAGGGCTTTGTACCTAATAGTTTTTGTTTAACCACTTTTTTCTTATTTTTACTAATTCTACTAACATAAATCTTAAGAAACTATTGTTACTAACTTACTATAATCAATCAATGGACTGTATTTGTCTGATGAATAAAATTATTATTATTACAAGTTATATGTTTAAATTAAAATTTAATATATATTGCATTTAGGTACACATTTACCTAGTAATGAGATCGCAGTAACAGGTGAAGAATCCAGGGACTTCGTCGTACATTTGTAAAAACCTCTTCAAAAGAAGAAGCTACCCCTGGATCTAATTTTATTAATTTTCCTTTAACTTATAACATATAATCGGTCCGTTGTTTTACTTGATTCTTCGTTTATTATTTTCGAAGTAGCTCTATACTTTATCCATGCTATTTTTTATTTTTGAGCTAAAATATTGTGACTGCAATTTTGCAATCATTTTTGAATTATTTGAATACAACCTAACGTATACCCTAAATATCATATAATATCATAGATAAATTAAAAAATAAGGTAACAAAAGTTAAAGAAAAACTGTTATAATGAAATCGTATAATATATTTTAATAAAAAAAGGCCGCGGTGAGGCATCAGGCGGACAGGTCCCCGTGGTCGAAGAGGTCTTGGTCGTAGAGGGCGGCTCTCACCGTTCGTCCGGCGAAGTAGCGGCCCTCCAGGGCGGAGGCCGCCGCGCTCGCCTGCTCCGGCTCCGCGAACTCCACGAAGATCTTGACGTGCGCGTGCGCCGGGTCGTCGTCTTCGCTCTGGCGCTCGTTGTAGATGACGAGCCGTCGCACCTGGCCCCACTTGCCGCACTCGTCACGGATCTCGTGGTGCAGCGCCTCGTCCACGTCTCGAGGCGACACCATGTTGCGCAGAAGCAGCGTGCGGGAGACGCGGCGACGCATCAGGCGCTGCATCACGAGGTGGCGCGCCGACTGCCCCGAGATCGACAGCGACTCCTGCTGCTGCAGCGTGTCCGGCGACGTGTCGAGCAGCTTGCGCTGCAGCGCCGCCTGCGCGCCGCCGTCCTCGCTTTCGGCGGATGCGGTTTCGGCGCGAGGCGGCGCCGGCGGAATCACCACGCCGGGCGGGGGGATCGCGGCGGCCGGCGGCGGGACCGCGGGTAGCGTCGCGGGCAACGCGACGGGGACGGTCACGGGCAGCGCCACTGGCATCGCGGCCGGCAGTGTCACGGGTAGAGAGACGGGCAGCGCCGCGGCGAGCGTCGGCAGCGCGGCGGCCGGGGGCACGCCGAGCGCGTTGAGCTTGGTGAGGCCGAGCGCCACGGCGTTGCTGGCGACGGCGTCCATCGCCTGGATTTTGGCCGTGGCGGCGGCGGCGGCGACGGCGGCGGCCGTGGGCATGGCGGAGGCGGCGGGCGGGCCCAGCAGGGCGTTGGGCGGGGTGATGGCGCGGCCCACGCGAAGGTACTGCCCGCCGAGGTCGAACAGGTTCATAGACGCGATGGCCTCGAGCGCGGCGGGCAGCGACGCGTACTCGATGAAGCCGTAGCCCTTGTGCTTGTGCGCGGAGGCACCGTAGGCGAGCTTGCAGTACGTGATGGGCCCGAAGGCCTCGAACACGTTTTTGATGTCGTCCTCGCTCAGCTCGGGATGCACGGACGCCACGTAGATGCGGTTGTACTGCTTCGCCTCTTCTTGAATCTCGTCGATCACGGCCTGGGCCTGCGGCATGTTCGAAGGCCGGCCGACCACCTTTATGTTCCTGTGGACGGAGCTCGTGTACGGTCTAACGTAAAGGGCTCTCGAGTCATCGGTCGTGTCGAAGGCCCGTCGCGAGACGCACGGTTCGTTATACGCTACCTGCCACCGAGCATGACGCCGTTCATCTGCTCCAGGCTGAGCTGCGCCGCCTCGGGAATCTCGTACTCGACGAAGGCGAACCCCTTGTGCTTCTGGGTCACGGGGTCCCACGACATGTTGATGGACTTAATCGGGCCGAAAGGCAGGAACGCCTGCCGGATGGTGTCCTCCTTCAGTTCGAAGGAAATCGAACCCACGTACACCCTGCGGACGGGTTAACCGTTAAGACTCGTCGGATTCACTGATCTCGTTTTCGCGATCCGAGATTGCTCTCAGATCTTTTCAGCTTTACGACTCACAGACTCGACCCGATCGGGGAATCTCGATATATCGCTCTCATCATCGGGCGAGGTGTGAGAATGATGAAAAGAGGCGAGGAAAGGCACGAACCTGCACATGAGCGCGAGTGCCTGTTGACGTTGCACTTGCGTACGCTGCGAAGCCATCTGCTGCTGCTGGTGCGCCAACGTCTGCTTCATGAGTACCATTTTGATACTCTGCTCCATGGCGTACTTCTTGGCGCGCGCGACGGCATCGGCCTGGTCGGCATTGAGACGAGGCAACTGCCCCCCGAGAACCGCAGGCAGGGCCGCGCCCCGCGCCGCCGGCCCCGCCGCCACCTCACCCCGCTGCTGCAGCTCGTACACGGCACCGGGCAGGTACCCGAGCGTGCTCTATGAGATCACATGAATCTTCAAACTAATTTAATATGTGGACCCTACTAACGCTCTTAAGCTTCAAGGTTGCTTTACTGGATATATAGGAATGGGTGGATTAACGGAAATATATCATTGTTAGCATAAAAAAGTACAGAGATGACATTTGATCCGACAGAAGCACATCACCAATCTCCAAAAATAAAATTGCACAAAAGAATGCTCATTTTAATTGCAAAGCTGAAGACAATCTATATAGTTAATAAGAAAAGAGTTTGGTTCAAGCACTTTGTGGTTCGTCTTTAAGACGGCAGCAGATTGTTCAAGCACTTTGTGGCACTGTATTTAAATCTTTCTTTAAAAGAAGCTGTGTAACTCCTTGGCTTACATACATGCCATAGATATGACCTAGTTCATGGCTCACTTATCTATAGCTTGTTATGAAGCAAACATCAAAAAGTATACACAAAAAAAGATATCTATCACCTTCATACTAAAAATTTAAATCAAAGCTTATCAACAATGGCACTGTTCTTTATATAACAGCATAATTATAATTTAACCAAAATAAAAGTGAGAAACATAGAAAAAAAAATTAAAATGTATGCATTGTTTAATGAATAATTATATTGTGCATGGACACATTTGGATAACAAGAAACTCTGACAAATTTTATTACAAGTGATAAGGAGTAGTGCAATACCACTACTAGACAATACTCTATAATGTGTTTTTTAATTTATTTAGTGAAAGGGATTAAAATAGTAACCCTGGAGTTGTGTTTATTATAAATTACTACACAAAGCACCTCAACTAAAATAATATTAGATATATTATAGATAAAAGGTTGTCATCACATTTCAGGTAAATTAATCCATTCAATTTCTTCATTTCTACTCCCCCAAAACATACTTTTATATCCTCTCAAATCAGAGCATATATTCATAACAGCTACCAGTTCATGAATCGCCCAAGTCTTGTAATCTGTTGTCTTAGCAATCAGGATTTAAAAGAATAAATCTCATGATATATCATGTGGGTGAACCCAACGGTCAATACTTAGCTTTCCCTTTACAATATCAGTTTTAAAGCCAAATCAACATACACAGGAGTTCAATATAAACTAAAAATATAAAGAGGCCTTTAAATCCTACAAAGATAAACAATAATTATTAACTATGATTTATATAAATAACTTCAAAAACAAATACAAAACATTTTATAAATTGAATTTGAATTGCCATTTTTCTTGTACATACAGGCTGTCCTCCCATCACATTTGGGACTGTCTTTATTTAGAGAGGGACTGTCCTGATTACAAATATAGTGTTCTACGACTTTTAGAAAACATTTATCAACATATTATATTAAAAAAGGCCTAGTGCTTCCTGGTAATGAATGGATAACATGTGGCGTAGAGAATAGTAATTGTTAAGTTAGTCAAAGAAAATGATAAAATATACAAATTACAAACAAAACCTTATGAATAGCCCACGTATCTAGTTCTTAAGGCACGTTGAACTACATAACCCTTTATTTAATTGTAAATTACTTCTACTTACCATGAATTCCATGATTTTAACGGGAGCCCTCAAAATTTTAAAAACTTCATATATCGTGTAAACGCATTACGCCAACAGTTCATATTGTTACATACTACGTTAGTTCAGACATATTACGTTTATGATGTCCTATTTTGTTAGAATTTTGCCTGTGAGATCAACAAAATATGATATGACAATCACATTTAAAACTTCTACACCTAACTCCATAAGTAAATCTATTTAAATTAGTAATTACTATATAATATATATTATAATGTATGTACTCTATGTCTATGGTATGCAGTGTGACCGTTTTACAAAATGGCGATCTACCAAAACTACAAGGTGCCAGTACTAAATAATACCAAAACACATGCTGAATTATACTAAAATAAAAAGAGGATTTCTTTTATTAAAACACTTATTATCAGTTACTTTTTAATTTTACCAATTACACACCTTCATTATACAGACATATTAAAATAATAATAAATATTTACAATAAGTTTTATTACAAATACTAGTCTGGCTAACGAAAGTAGATACTGGATTTTTTTGCAAACTTTTTATATGACAACACTAAAGTTGGTACGGTCAAAATGTCTTGATATTTTTTTATTTTAAATAAGTACATATTAGTTTTAGTTAATATATATATAATCAATTTAAGAGACAGCGGAGACTCCAGTAATTCTGACGATTCACTCCATGTTGAATTTTTTGATTCAGATTTTGATTAGTGATTAAAAAACAGTATAAAAATATATGATGTTGTTTTCTTTGATACATACTCACATAGATTTACAAATATTTAAACTCATGATAATATTGATACGCATGATAGTGTTTGATAGCCTGTTTGTTCCTTTAATACGCCACAATGGAGTGACGTATCCGTGTGATGTTTGGTATGGAGTTAATAAAGAGTTAACAAGTGATATAAGCTACTTTTAATCTCCTCATAACGCGGACAAAATTGCAAGCATCCACTAGTAAAATAAAAATGAATGTCAAAGTATCAAAGTGAGTTGTTCCAACTTTCCTTTTTACTTTAGGGCTGCCATGCTGAAATTTTTTAAATTTGCTGCGCTTATTCAGTATCAATTTTCATTAGCCAGACTCTAAGTCAGTATTCGCTGCACTGAGCTAACTGAGCAGATTTGGTACGTTTGCAGGAAAAGCCCATTGCGATTTCCGAATTATAAAACATTTTGCTGAATAAATCTTCAAGTTCTTTCCTTTGAAGTAATTTATCATCGTTCTGAAAATAAACAGGATTTGATGAATTTTCCTATCGTAAAAAATAAGTAAAATACCTATTTCTTATTTTAAAGAACAGCTAGTCTCATTTATAAAAAAATTTAAAATTCAGCTTGAAATCGCTTGAGAATCAATTATACATGTGTGTACAACTGTACATGTACTATTCAAGATTCATCGGACATCCTGTAGAAGTAGGACAATTAATTCATGTGTCATAAAAAAGTAAGGGACACAATAATCTTATAAATATGTTAATGGGGGCATAGCTTTCTTACCTTGGTCGTCGGCAGCGTATTAAAATGAATGATGCTTACTCTCAATGGAATAATATAAGTACTGGTGTTCCGCAGGGTGGCGTTCTTTCACCTCTTCTTTTTTATATCTTTATCAACACCCTGACTGCACATCTATCGGCTAATTATCACCTTTACGCTGATGACCTCCAAATTTACGTTCAGTCTACACTTGATGAGCTTCCTCTTGCAATACAGGCGATGAATGATGATCTTGAAAACATAGCCAACTGGAGTAAAGACTTTGGTCTTCAAATTAATCCTGCCAAGAGTCAAGTCATCATCATCGGAAGCCCTTTCTTTATTTCAAGAGTCAAATGGGCTCAGCTCCCTGGTGTTTACTTGGCCCTCAATAAGACTGTTAAAAACCTTGGGGTTTTCTTCGACCAAACGTTTTCCTGGGGTCATCACGTAAAGGAGATCAGCCGTAAACTTTACGCCGCTTCTTTTACTCTGAGACGTCTTTCTAATTTCCTTCCTATCCGTACTAAAACTATGTTAGCGAAGTCTCTCCTGCTTCCTATTCTCGATTATGCGGACTCGTGCTCCTCTGATTTGATCGAAGAGCTACTTGACAAGATCGAACGCCTGCAGAATTTCTGCATACGTTTCATATTCGGTTTTAGAAAATATGACCATGTGTCTAAATTCCGCAGGCAGCTGGGATGGCTACCTATTCGATTCAGACGTCACGCTCATCTTCTTCAACTTCTATACTCAATTCTTTTCAATCCGAAAACCCCTTCTTATCTCAAAAATCACTTCAAATTCTTAGGTCCTTCTAACTATATGTTACGCTCTTCTAATAGATGTTTATTGGAAATTCCATCCCACACTTCATCCTTCTTAGGCAATTCATTCACGATAAAGATTAAGAGGTAGACCTAAGTAAAACTGGATTGATGAAATAAAAAGAAAAGCTGGTGAAAACTGGACCACCAAAGCAAAAAACAGACAGATGTGGAGCAAAATGGAGGAGGCCTTTACCTGTAGAGGGGTCCATAATGATTTAATGATACTTTATAAAAATGAATTTTGTTTTTGATTCTTATTAATTTATTTATCATTTCAAACTTATATACATTGAAATTATTAATTATGATTGGAATATAATTTAAAGATTATAAATAATAATATTGTATTTTTAATGCATGCACATATTATGTAATAATTAATTATATGATATACTTGTTTAATATGTTATTCATTATGAAAATAAAGAGGTTATAATAATAATTATTATTTTCTTTACAGCTTAACCTGACAAAATCGCTAAATTGAGAGACTATATGAATAAATGTTTATATCCAATTGAACATTGCCTGACGACATCTTTTTCTATCTTGATGGAGTCATCCTAACTAAATAAATACTGTTATTATAATATTTTTAAATGGCTTATTATTTACACATTATAAAGTTAAAAAAAACCTATGTTTTTTTAAACAACAAAAATCAGAGGAGAATAATACAATTCATGAACATAGTGAGGAAAAATTTAATTATAATAAATATCTGCTAGTAATATGGCATTCTTATTTATTGTAAAATATGATATTATATTGGGGGATTATGTTTTTGTTAGACATGCATAAATTATGAATTGAATATTATTGAACAATGTGCAATTATTTGTAGGTACACTGAAATCTTCAATGAATCAAAGATCTAAAATCTATAGTAAATTATAAACTCAATGTCTACGAAGTCGGTAGTCGGAAGGGAATTGCCGTCTTGTTTCTCATCTCCGTCTATATTTTAATAATTTATTTATAATCAAACAAGTTTTAATACAAATATTGAATTTTATAGGTTCTAAACTAAATAATAGTAGGACATTTCGATACAAAAAAAAAGGGTGCGTGTACTTATGTACGCGCGTAAGAAGTTATACTTCTTTGGCATTATTAAAAATAGTTTTTGATTGCATGCAAATAATTAATTACAATTAAATAATCAAAGACTGGAAAAGGAGTCATTAAAGTCAATAAAGTTCAGTTTACATTTGAAAAATTAATTAAATAAATATTTATTATTATTCTCTTACATTAAACAAATAAAACACTATTTATCTTTAAAACATTTTTATTTCATTATACTATTTATTTTTAAGTGACTCTAATGTCTTCATCAGAATTTCGGTTTGTAATTTTAAATTAATCATTACTTGGTTGTGCATCTACGAGGCTTCTCCAAAACTACTTGCTTTCTGCAACAAATAAGAGAATATTAATTTAAGCTCTGTCCATGCAAAACTTAAAATTTTTTATAATTCATATTATAAATTTTTTAACACATTTATATTAATATAATTATATAAATGTGTTAATAATATAATTTGTAGCACATGCTACAGACCTGGATAGCAATTCTTTTATTCTATTTAGAGATAGAGATAATTTAAATATAATACCGGTGTCTTCCTTGTAGGTTTCTTTGGAGTTGTTTGGGGATTCTTGTTGTTCAGTTCGACATGATTTTCTTTAACCTTTCTTTAATCCTACAAAATAATGAAATTGTTAAGTTATGTTGTCACTGTTGTGCACACCTTTGTTTGGCTTTTTTAGTATTCAAGTTATGTCAAAACTGATTTATTACCTTGTCATTGTTGGCTTTATTTGCTTTTGGGATATCAATTGTTTCCAAAATGATTTTATTTGTAATAACCTGAAATATATAAATAACATCTATTAATTTAAGTATCATGGTGAGTGGTTCGCACTCAGGTATTAAGGTGTATTATACCCACTGTCCATTATAAGTGGGAATGGGCTCACTTCTGGCAGGACAGAGTTTCGGTACTACAAGTGCAACATGGATGTTTTGAGGTATTACAATATCTCTAACTACCCTGTAGGGGAATAAAGTAATGTTGTAAGCATATGCCTATGCTTGAAAGGTTGAACCTTGAACATCACCATACATCATATTTATAATTAACATTCCTACCTCGACACCATCACAATCAAATTCATTGAAATCTACTTCAAACCATTGTGTCTCGAGAAGGTGATGGTGGCTTTGTTCCACCTCCAGTTTTTGATGTTTCACGGCGATAAGATGACAACTCTTTTTTTGTATTCAATTTAGTGCACTTCCACTGATTCATCAATTGTTTTTTGTCTCTTGTCCTTATATTTGCTAGATTAAATCTGATGTTTTGATTAAATAATGTGGTCATTTTTTTGAGATGCAGGTACTTATTAAAATGTTTACTTCTCTGTTATATCGCTCCAAGCCTTCATTTTCTCCTTATTAGTATTCGTGCTTAAATCTTTGTTCTCAATTATTGATATATAGGGTCGTAGAATATTTCTAAAAAGTTGCTGTAACAAACGCAATAAACAAAAGCAATGAATAATGGTTCATGTTTCAGTTTTAATCAACAATAATACTCCATAATACATACGGATAGTTAACCTCAATTGTATTGAAGCACTCAGGAAGGTTAGCACAGTTTTTTCACAAATATTTTATATTATTTCACAAATATTTTGTATAATGAAAATAACTAGGTATATAATTATTAATTTTAAACAATAATTAAAACTCCTATATTTGTTTAAAAGGTAAATGTCATTGTCAGATGTCAATTGTCATGGTCATTCAAAATTCTTGTTAAGCTGCTAAGCTAGAATATGCGTGAAGTTAGCTTCACGCATATTCTATTTCTTTTTACTTGTAGTTTGTCTTATTCCCATCTCGCTCGCGCACGCTATATCACACTGCCAATTTTGTGTCATAGGTGCGCGCGCAATCGTAAAATTTCACTCTCATCAATTTTTCATAACGCGCCTAAAGAAGTACAACTTCAAAAAGTTGAACAAAAAGTAACTTTTTTAGAATCGCTTATTCTGTCATAGTTGGAAGGCGCAACTGTCAAATTTCGGTTCAGCCGAGCGGTCATGGTACGGATTTTCATACAAATTGAACGAACGAAATCTGATAACCGCTAAGGTCACGTGGGAACATAAACTGTCTCGTTTTTTCGATGTCATGGTACGAATTAGCTATGCATCTCAGTTGTAGATTGTCAATAGGCTCGCAATAAGAGTTCATGGTAGGCCCCCTGTTTTAAAAACATGTCATATTTTTGTGACACATGTTATAGAAAAGGTTTTGATTTAGTTGTCGGGCTTTTTTAAACGTTCTCGTATAATTATAATAATTTACACTAGAGTTAATATTTTTAAGTTAAGAGTTTTAGTTTTTCAATGAATCAATGCGAGGATAACATAATAGACATAATTAATATGAAAATATCAAGAAAATCAGCAAATTAGTACAAGTCGTCGGAAATATCTGCGAACCTGGCTTAATGACGTCATACAAACTGGAGAGATAGCAAAAAAATTGAAGATGTAAAAATAAAAAATATTTTATTTGTGTACTTATTTTTATTGATACTCGTACCTACCCATCTTACATACAGCACTAAATAGGTAGTTTATGTAATATTTCACCAAACAGAGAAACAATAAACACTAAAATGCGATTACGAAAGCAAGAATAATACACGTGCGGCGTCGGCGATTGCGTTGGCAACGGTACTGGATAGGCGAAAACGGGGAGGGGTGCGGGGGCGCCAGGGGAAGCGCATTCCAGCGAGGTTCGCAGATATTTCCGACGGCTTGTAGAGGTAAATCCTAGTTATATTGGATATCTTTTATTGATATTTATATTGCATGTAAGTTTATGAAATTGTTCTTTAATTTGAAAAATACATTATGTAACTTAAGTTACTTGTTTGTTGTAAATTTATACCATTTAATATTGCTTATAATCACAAAGTAAAACTATACTACAATTTTATTTGTACATTGTAGATGAGAAAGCAGTCACTAATGAACATAATTAGAAGTTCTAAATATATTTTATTGTAATTATATTAGAAGCTAATAATATAATATTAATTTAAATTTATCAAATAAAGTGGATTTATACTTCATGAACTTTAGAAATATAAAATCTGGTAAACAATACTAAGTAATGGTAAGCAGATATTTTCTTTAATTATTTACTAAGTCAATATACTAGAGAAGTTATTATAATATTGTTAATGAATGAGAAGTTTGAATTCAAGTCCCTTGGGAGTTACTGACATTGGTTTGGTTATTAATAACTTTAATTGACAATAAGCAGCAAAGTGACAAATTAAGTATATATTTTTAAGTTTTGAATAAAGTAAAGAGTTTTAATATTAAAGTTACCTATTGAATAAACCTAGAAGCGATCTTACAGTTTAGTTTGTCAGTTTTCTATTTGATCAAAGTACCTACTAATTAAAATATTTTCTTTTCAGAAAAATAAAAGCTAATAAGACAACTAAAAGTATTAACAGAAACCACAAATGGACAAGTTTTATTTAAGTCTTAGCTTTTAATTAATTTAAGTGTTATATTAAGTACCTGAAAATTAATTTGATAATGGGGGATGAAGCATTTTATGAATAATGTAAAAAGTGGAGTGGAACATTTCCTTAAGAACAGGAAACAGTTACTGAAACTATGTTCTTCCACATTTAATCGTAATAAGTTGAGCAGTTTCAATGTTAATGAGATATTTATTATAAACATACTACATTTGTAGATTTTGGGAAGAATTATATCTTTAATAACTATTATTAATTACAATTGTTGTGTTGAGGAAACAGTCACTATTTTTTTACTCCCCTAGGATGTATTCATAGTAACTATAGGTATCATAGTAATTGTATGAATTCATCACATCATCTAACGTTAGGTTTTATGAATTGAACAATTTTTTTGTATATAACAGCACACAAACAAGATATTGACATTGCTGCCAATTAACACTTACTTTTATTAGTTAATTATCTACATCTACATTAGGTAATAGTGCATTTAATTTGGTGCACCTGTGTGTGTTCAGTAGTAATGTCTGTAGTGTATAATAAGTTGTTACATAGGTTTATTTATCTATTTATACTATGCAACATGTTAAAGAAGATAGTCAACAGAAGTGCCTTATTTTAATAAAAAATAACAATGACAAACATTTTTATTTGACTACCTGTTTGTTTAATATTCCTACCTATGTACTAGGTACAGGTCATTCATAATATATGCATTACCTGTAGCAATATTCTGGTAAAATAAACGAATATTGTGAATCACTTAAATGGCTTTTCCTATTAAAGAAGACAAACTCAAACTAAAAATTTATTTATTTATTTCTCCACATCACTATCTTTACAGGCTAACCTAATACAATAGTGTGGTCCTTAAATCTAACATATCATAATAGAAATAAATTAAATCACTCCCTGTTACATTTTGTATATAATAATGATAAAGAAATGCTTTAAATTGGTGAAATAATAATTACTTAGACTAAAGGAATGAACGTAAATATTTTTAAAATATTACATAAGTCTTGAATTTTAATGTTACAATAAAATTGTATTTTGTTTTGAACAATGTAAATATTAATTATAACATAAAGTGCGATTTTTGTGAACTCACTCAGGGAACATGTAAAAAGATCTGTGCCGTCCGCTACTTCATTGAGTATATGTAAGGTGCGCGTTATCGCAGCTTTGCCTAGCAAATTTGTTCTAGCACTGGGCACTGCTAGTAGACGTGGACGCCGCCTACGCCACACGTAATTGTTGGGTACACATAGGTTAATCTCTTTCAAGACCCCCGGATTCGACGTCTTACCACGCAATAATTTAAACATATAAAGGGTGTCTCAGTAAGAGTGCACTTTTTCATTTTTAAATAAAGACAAGTATTTTATGACAGAGTTCTGATATTTTTATTGTATTGTAAAGAAGACATGTTCCGATTAAGTATGGAATAAAATATCCGGCAAATGACCTCCACGGCTCCGATGACAGGCCATTACACTCTTCATGAAATTTTCCATGACTTTTCACAGAGATGTGGCTGTATCTTACCGATGACGCGTTGGATTTTCGATTTGAGCTCAGGAATGGTTTCGGGTTTATTCGCATAAACTCGAGATTTCACAAAACCCCAAAGAAAAAATCGCACGGCGTTAAATTGCACGATCTTGGTGGCCAGTTGACATCAGGATTTCGTGAGATAATGTGTTCTGTTCATCGGAGAAAATGACTTTTTTCGAAAAATTGGCATCGACTTCCCTTTGCTCCATTACTCATTGAGCAAATTGCCGGTGCCTTCCTTGGTCTGCTGGTTTGAGCTCCTGAGTTAACTGAATCTTGTACGCATGAAGGTCTTTAGTCAAAATTTGCTAAGTCGAATTGATGTTTTCTGGTATTCGGCGACACTCTCGTTTACAGCAGCAATGTTTTCAATTGACCGACCGGTACGTCGACGCAAAGGATTCTTATTATCCATACCTAATTGACCCAGTTTCTTCAAATTTTTTGACCATTCTTCGAATGGTTGACACATTAGGTGCACTTTCTCGGCTGAAAATTTGGTGAAATTTGCGAGCGTTTTCAGCGTTACTTTTGTAATGAGTTTTCACAATTATAACGAGTTGTTCTTTCGAAAAGCGCTCCATTTTTAATAATCGGAATAAACAGAGGTGACACCTGTCAAATTTCAGAGTTGCCACTTGCAGGAAAACCAAAAATATTACAATTTTAAAAAGTGCACTCTTACTGAGACACCCTATACATGGCAAGAGCCATGTCCCTCCTTGTCTCCAATTTGTTGTATCCAACCATGCCTATAACAAACAAGGTTGGATACATCAATGGATAAAATGGGTATACTCCATACAGCCTTAGGTACAAGAACCGAGTAAATTTATTTTGGATACGTTCCAACATGAGACTATACTTAGCTTCATGTGGAGCCCAGATAATTGCGTTACTTTCTAACTGGCTTCTCACCAATGCATTATACAAAGTGGATATCGCAGTGATGCTAGTGAACCCTCCCACTCTTCTGAGTACAAAGCCCAAGCTTCTATATGCTTTTTTACATACATTTTGTATGTGATTACGAAATGTTAGCTCAGCGTCCAGGTTTACCCCCAAATCGCGCACTGTATCCATCCTTTTAAGTACTGTGTTATTCAGGGTGTAGTTGAAGTTGATGGGTTTCTTCATCCGGCTGAAAGTTATAATTGAGCACTTAGAGGTATTGAAAAACAGTTTATTTTTCTTACTCCACTCATCTACCCTATCAATATCTAACTGAAATCGCTCACAATCTCCTTCTTCTCTTATGGCGATAAGGAGTTTGAGATCATCCGCAAACAACAGACATGTGGCATCCCTGACTACGCCTGGCAGGTCATTTATCATAATAATAAATAGAAGCGGTCCTAAATTACTACCTTGACTCACACCCGATCTCGTATAGTAGGGTTCAGATTTATAACCTGCATATTCGACATACTGTTTCCTGTCCCTCATGTGATCCGCAAAAAATTTTATCAATTTGGGAGTGCATCCGACTGTTGCCAGCTTAGCTAATAAGATGTCATTATCAACCATATCAAATGCTTTTTGAAAATCAAAGTATGCGGCGTCGACCTGCACCCCTGAATCCACACTAGGAACTACATAAGTCATAAAATTCAGCAGGTTAGTAGTCGTACTGCGATTACATCTGAACCCATGCTGCGCGTCCGATAGCGTAACTTCAACTTGCCTCAAAACAGAATGGTGGACTACTGTTTCAAATACCTTCGCTGGCGCCGACAGATCCGCCACTGGCCTGTATCCGTTTACTTCCGATTATCCTTCACCCTTAGGTACTGGTATCACCCGTGTAAGTTTCCAGCGTTCCGGGAAACAGGCCGACTCAAAGCAAGTATTATATAAATAAAGAAGTGGGTACGTTAGAAAATCCCTACAGTCCCTAATGATAAATGCCGGTATGCCATCCGGTCCCGCGGAGCGCTTTGGTTTCAGCTTTATTAATGCCTCCCTCACCTGATTCGCGTCAAAACTTGCAATATGTACTCGGGCACTGCTCACCCCGCTCTCCGCGACGGCCGCCTCCCAGTCTAATTTTGCTATCCGCGGACTGTAGACCGATTTAAAAAAATTCGCAAATTCGTGCGCACATTCAGACTCCGCTAAATTATTACCGTTTTTAGTAATCGTTTTATGATTAACAGAACCTTTTTTACATCTTACATAATCCCAAAAAGATTTGGGATCTCTCGTGATATTGCGTTGCACATTATCCTGGTATTTTTCATGGGTTGATGTTATCATCTGTTTAACCGTCGCCCTACACTGGGCGAACATTTCGTAATCACTTGACAAACCACTAATTTTGTATTGCTTGTGCAGCAGTGCTTTTAATTTTATGTTGCGAATAATTTCAGCTGTGTACCACTCTGGGTAATTGTACCTAGAATTTACACTGCATCGCTGTTTCCTGGGAACACAATCATCTAAAATACTATACATAACACCATAAAAATAATTCAGAATATCCTCTGCCTCCCCTATACTGTAGATAGGAGACCAGTCGTGCATCATTAACATATAATACAACTTATTAAAATCTGCTTTATAAAAATTCCACTGCGGCCATAAGTCGTCATTTTGTTGTATACTTAGCAGCGGTTGAGATATATCTGGCACACTAGTAGCGGTCGCCTGTTTCCTTACCTGCGGAACGCAAATGACTAGCGGTGGGTGGTGCCTATCTATCGACACGAGCGCCTCGTCGGCCCGACTGACACTCACACTCTCACCTAGACTCAATGAACACAGCACTAGATCCAAATACCTATTGTTACAGTTTGGCACCTCATTTCTCTGTGTGAGTTCACAAAAAGAAACAAAATACTCATAATAATTAATTGTATGTGTATTACAAGAGTATAGATTGAAGTCACCTATTACAATCATATCCTTATACTTAGTACACAACTGTTCTAATAATCTAAACAATAGCATATATTCATTTTCATTACCGTCAGGTGGTATATACAAAACGCAACACAAAAATAAATATTTGTTATGTTTATGTACGGTCGCACAAAGTAGTTCGAAGGTACATTTATCTATTATGACATCCCCCGGTAGCGATACGCGTCGTAGCTCAAACCTGTTTGTGGCCACGAGAAGCGCACCTCCTTGTTTACGTCCATCCGCCCGGTCACATCTTAGTATATTGTAGCTCGGTGGTACCAACTCCGCGTTATATATGGATGTATTGCAGCTTGTTTCCGTAATGGCAAATAAATCCGCTCCTGAAGATTGTATGTTTGTACAAAACTCGTTTAGTTTTGTCCGTGAGAACAAATACAGAAAACCACGTTGACCATGAGTCACAAAGAACATACCTGAGAAAAATAGAACTCGGGCAAGAAAATAGATTCAGTCTAGAAGCACTTATAGTGAAACAGACTGAAAGAATCGATCAACTCATTTCACAACTCAGCACAATGATGAACCTCATCATGACAATCTTCAGTAGGCTTCCACAATGATGTCGTTACGTATCGCTACCTGGAATATCAATGGCCTAACGCCAAATAAAAAAGAATTAGAAATAATGTTAAAACATAACAAAATCGACATTGGTTTAATATCTGAAACCCACCTAAATGACCGTAAGAATATTAAGATAGACAACTATGACGTATATTATACTAACCATCCCGATACCACATCACACGGAGGATCAGCAGTAATTGTAAAGAGTAACATCGGACACCACCTCCATAGCGAGTTTCGGGAAGACTGGATGCAAGCCACTACCATCACTATAAATGCAAGCATGGGCCCCATCAATGTAAGCGCTGTATATTGTCCACCAAAGCATAAACCGAAACAACACATGTTTGACCGCTATTTTCAAAGCTTGGGAAACAGATACATAAGTGGTGGGGACTGGAACTGTAAACACACTCATTGGGGATCAAGATTGACAAATAGCAAGGGACGTGAGTTGAAAAAATGTGTCGATAAACACAAACTTATTACACTGGGAACAGGTAAACCAACTTATTGGCCAACAGATGTCAACAGAATACCCGACCTAGTGGACTTTTTTGTGGTGAAGGGACTGTCTGATGTGTATTTTGACGTGGCATCATCGTCTGATGGTGGGTCTGACCACACCCCTATCATAGCAACATTTAGCGTTTCCGCTATACATAGAGCACAGAGACTGGCGCTATATAATCATAAAACAGACTGGGACGCATTTGCTGAATACTTAGAAGATGAAGTTGAACTAAAGGTTAGGCTCAAAACAGAAGAAGATATAGATGAGACAACATTCTACATCACGAATCTCATACAAGTAGCTGCGTGGCGTGCCACCCCGACACTGAGCTCTTCCAATCAATTAGGTAACATACCACTGGAAATACGCAACAAACTGGAAGAAAAACGGAGACAAAGAAGGCGATTACACACCAGCAGATCAGATGTAGACAGGTCGGAATTCAATAGAATATCTAGAGAACTAAAAGAGTTAATTAAAGAAAATCAAAACACAACCTTCCAAGAAAAACTCTGTACACTCTCGGCTCATAAGAAGGATAATTACTCACTCTGGAAAATAACTAAGAACTTTAAAAGACCACATAACCATATACCACCTATAAGGATATCTACGAACGATCCGTGGGCTAGGAGCGGCAGTGAAAAAGCTGAACTTTTCGCTAGACACCTAAGCGAAGTCTTCAAACCAAACCAATCATCCATGACTGAGTTTGAAGAGGAAGTGGATAGAATGATCAACAGTGACCAGCAGTTATCACTACCGCTAAAACTTGTCACTCCACAAGAATTAACGCGCACAATAAGCTATCTGGAAAACAAAAAGGCTCCTGGTTTCGACCTAATAACGGGTGAAATCCTTAAAAAACTACCTAGAAAAGTAATAGTACTTTTAACAATGTTATTCAATGCCATTTTTAGAATACAGTACTACCCAAAGCTATGGAAGATATCACAAATAATTATGATTGTAAAGCCAGGGAAACCCCCAACAGAACCTAGCTCATACAGGCCTATAAGTCTTCTCCCAACAATATCTAAGGTTTTTGAAAAAACTCTTCTGCGGAGACTAAAACCAGTCCTGGACCAAAACAGAATTATACCCGATCACCAATTTGGTTTCCGGGAAAAACATGCTACTGTAGAACAAGTACACCGAGTGGTTCACAAAATAAGACAATCGCTAGAGAAAAAAGAATATTGTTCAGCAGTATTCATAGATATTCAGCAGGCATTCGATAGAGTTTGGCACAAAGGATTGTTGTACAAGCTGAAAACCCTCCTACCAAACTCATTCTATATGATCCTAAAATCTTATCTAGATCAAAGAAGATTCCAAGTAAAGTATGAGGAGGAACTTTCAAGGCTCTATTACATCACTGCCTCAGTTCCACAAGGATCAGTGCTTGGCCCAGTCCTTTATTCAATATATACGGCAGACTTGCCTGAAACCGAAAATGTCGTAACAGCAACATACGCAGATGACACTGCATGCCTTGCAAGCGATGTGAACGCGAATAACGCTTCACTGAAACTACAGGAACAGCTCAATAAGGTGAACGTGTGGCTGCAGAGGTGGAGAATCAAGCCTAGCATAACTAAATCAATACAAGTAACATTTACACTGCGAAAGGGCGACTGTCCACCTGTGCATATAGAAGACAAACCGTTACCAAGCAAAAACAGCGTGAAATATCTCGGACTACATCTGGACAGAAGACTGACCTGGGCTAATCATATAAAAGCCAAGAAAACAGAAGCCACCTTGAAATTCAAAGAGCTATCCTGGCTTCTAGGCCCGCAATCTAGGCTGACCCTGAGTAACAAATTGCTTGTGTACAAGGCCATCATACAACCAGTGTGGACATATGGAATAGAACTCTGGGGCTGTGCAAGCAATTCTAACATCGAAATCCTCCAAAGATTTCAAAACATTGCACTGAGAACTATTTCATGTGCACACTGGTTTGTGAGAAACACGGAAATACACGAATATCTGGAGATGCCAACCGTAAAGGAAGTAATCCGCAAAAACAGTAGTAGATACAGGGAAAGGTTAACCAAACATACAAATGAACTGGCTAAGAATCTGCTAACCCCAGGAGATGATGTAACTCGCCTAAAAAGATGGCAAATACTAGACCTAGACCAGAGAAACTGACCTACAATAAAAATCCAGTTTCTACCAACACTTACGGTGCCTTTCAATGGAATCGCACCCAACCAAAATTAACCTCAGAAAATATCTGATTGTGGCTGATAGCCGATTGCAGATGAACAAGAACACAAAAAAAAAAAAAAAAAAGAGTTGTCCGTAGTCCTCCTACATTTTGGTAATAAATATTTATTTTACTAGGTTCCCGCGTTTCCTTCAATTGTGGACTTCCGAAACCAAATCCATTCTGCAAACTCTGTATTTACGGGCCATACTTCTGGTTTGCACAATTTTTCATAACTACCCTCCGCTACGCCAATTATAAAAGAAGAATAATCCCTTTCTGTTTTGTGCTTAATTTTTTCAATTTTAACAGTTTGGTCATTACATATATTTTTCACATGAGCTGTTAACTTTTCAATGGTCGTTTCTGGGTGCAATCGCCATACGTGAAGATGTTTCTTTCGCTCCATAGCTTGTAGGTAAATTAGCGCACCAACCAGAAGGCTGCATAAAACGAGTAATTCTTTCCAAGGCAATTGTATACGTTTTTTCAACAAAATCCCTAGTGAGATACAAGCGTTGTCAATAAATAAATTTAAATCGTACATTAAAGTAAAACTGCTTGCTAAGGCTTATTATAATATAAATGAATATTTAAACGATCCTAGTGCTTGGATATGAGTTGCTCCAGTATATATTATAGGTAACACGACTGAATCTCTTGGCTGCATTTCCAGACTCTGGGGCGATCGTCAACATCCACGACTGTTTTAATGTAAAGTGGGAACAAACCGTGATCCATGTGGTATCCAATTATTTCAGTATTATTATTATTTTCTTATGTAGCCAAGTCCACATTTCAAGGATCGTCATGCTCGCTTAAATGTCATTGCTTGTGGCGGCGTCCATGCGTCGGGTTGTCTCTCTCCCTAAAATATGGCGAGGGGGCCGATGGCTGGCCATGCGTCATACTCGTGAACGGGTGCTACTTGTGGTGACTGGTCGTACTTGAATTCGTGTATGCGGTGATGTTAATTATTTCGACTATGTGTTTGCGTGTTGTTCCCACGAGAATGTAAGTGCGTGCTCCTATTTCACCATGCCTCCTGCTGATAGGGGACAAGTCTTTGTTTTTATTTATGTTATTATTATTAATTACTTAAAATGTCATGTGGAACATGGTGTAATGGTTGCAGCTCCTTACAAACGTTGTGTAAAAAAAAAAAAAAAACATGGCGATTAAAAAGAGTGGCGGAGAGTTTATTGCCAGTTCTTCTCTTCCGTTCTACGCCCTTGATTTGAGAACTCGCAGTAAATGTAAAATTAGAAGCATTAATATTTATTTCTTTAATGACGAATCACAAGTGTACATTGTGTTACCTACGTGAATAAATGATTTTTGAATTGAATTGAATTGAGGTCAAGTATGTTAGTATTTTGACCTCTTTTTACAGATTTACGTTGAAATTTATTATTTTTCCTTTGTACTGTAATCCAACCGGCCGCATCCGCATAAACCTCATTTGATGTTATTGTACTCGCCTCGTTTGCGAGCGAAGTCGCTCTTCGAGCTGTCGCTTGCAGTCCCGTCTTTGCAACCTCACTATAAACCGGTTTTGCCGATGCCGCCGTTTTAGTTTTAATTTTAATATCGGTGGTCGTGTTTAATGTAGTGTCAGTGTCCTGCATATTTAACGTTTCGGTTTGTATCTTATTCGGTGTTAGTGACAAAGATGTATGTGGAACCTCGGATGCGCCAATCAAGTTTTCCAATTGGTAATTACGAACTTTTAATTTCTCCAGCTGGCTGCGTAATATGTCAACAGTGCTACTTTTCTCTTCGAAAGCCTTCAGGTTTGTATCACGAAGCTTTTGTATTTCTATTTTCATACCACAACATACCTCCTCGATTCTCTTGATGTCACTTGATTGTGTTTCCAAGCAGGATAGTTCTGTTGAGCGAAATGCTCTGATTTCCTCCATCATGTCTTGCTCATATCTAATTTGCGGTGTCGGCACTTCATATCGCTTTACTCGACTACCCCGCTGTGTATTAATGTTGCTGTTCGTGAACAGGGTGTTCTCCAGCCCTGATACTCTCCGCGTTGGCGTGTTCTCGTTGCGTATCGGCTTATGTGTAGATGAAATACATTCTGGACAGACCCAGACACTTTTATCTATCTGATTGAATAGATCCACTGGTATTCCTACACAATCTAGATCATACTGCTTTATACACTTTTCATTACTACACTCCACATAAGGCACATTCGATATATCTGCCTTACAGCCACTGCACACTTGAGGCATTTTATTACTTAATTAATTAATTTATTCTCACTTGGTTACGAGTATATAGGTAAGGTACGTCCGTTCCGTACGGTGGGTAGTACTGTAATATATCTTTATTCAAGTCATATATCAATTCAAAAGTGTACTTGGTTACCCACCAAGTACACTTTTGAATTGTCAAGTTAAATTAATTGTAAATTTACATTTACTACCAGTTCGCAAGTCAAGGGCGTAGAGCGGGTAAGAAGAACTGGCAAGAAACTTTCCACCACTCTTTTAAATCGCCAAGTATTGTCATACAAATTGTTTGAACTGGAGCAAATCAATCCCAAGGATTAGGATCATTTAAGTATTCCTCAAATTTATACAACGCTTTATTGATTGATTGCCGTTTAACGAGGGCTTTGAATTTATTTAGTGATAATTATCTAATTTCGCTTGGGAGTTTGTTGTAAAAACGAATACAATTTCCATATAAGGAGTGGTTTATCTTTTGGAGCCTGGTTGGTCGTACACTCAAATTAGTTCTATTTCGCGTATTATACTGGTGAAAGTCACCATTTGTTTTAAAATCGTTTATATTTTTTTGGACATACAATAAGGCTTCAAGAATATATTGACCAGATAGTGTCATAATATTTAATTCCTTAAACTTATTCCGTACCGACTCCCTCGGAGAAACACAACAAATACCCCGAACAGCCCGCTTCTGCAGCACAAATATGGATTGAACCTCTGCAGCAGCACCCCACAGTAAAATACCGTACGACATAACGCTGTGAAAGTAGCTATGATACACAATTTTAGCCGTGTCCTTATCAGTAAACTGTCGGATTTTCTTTACTGCATATGCTGCAGAGCTCAGCCTATTCGAAAGAGTCTCTATGTGTGGGCCCCATTGGAGTTTACTATCTATTGTTATGCCTAGAAAAACAGTTTTGTCAACAAAGTTTAGTTCACTGTCCTTAATTTTCAGGTTACCAATATCCCGCTTTACGCTAGTAGTTGTAAGTCTAATACATTTTGTTTTATTCTCATTAAGCAGTAAGTTATTTACATTAAACCAGTTAACTATACGAGAGATAGAATTGTTTACATCGTCCAATAATACGTTATTCCTATTCACTTTAAATAGAAGTGAAGTGTCATCAGCAAACAATACCATCTCATGAACTTCGTTGACAAAGAATGGGAGGTCATTTATGTAAATCAGAAATAAGAAAGACCCGAGAATCGATCCTTGGGGGACGCCCATTGATACCTGCGAACCCGGAGAGGTGACTCCATTGACATGAACTCTTTGGATCCTTCCCTTTAAATATGAATTCATCAGGCTGGAAGCTTTGCCATCAACGCCATAGTGTTGAAGCTTTCCAACGAGTATATCAGGATGAACACAGTCAAAGGCCTTTGACAGGTCACAAAAAACGCAGACTCCATCATATGATTCTTCCCAGGCGTTAAATATGTCCGAAATCAACTTCACACCGGCATCGATTGTGGAGCGACCCTTAGTGAAACCATACTGTTTATTATGTAAGAGTTTATTTTTATTAAAATGTAAAGAAAGCTGGTCTAGCATTATCTTTTCAAAAACTTTGCTCAACGCAGGGAGCACGGAAACAGGTCTGAAGTTTGACGGATCAGACTCACTACCTGCCTTGAACAACGGTGTAATCTTACTTAATTTCATTTCGTCCGGAAAGACTCCACGATCGATACATCTGTTAAAAATTATAGACAATTCAGAGCTTATTACATTAATAACGGAATTTAAAATGACTGTTGACATACCCCATATATCTTTACTTTTTTTTAAATTAATAAGCTTAAAAGTTTTAACGATATCATTACAAGTTATATGTTTAAACTGAAATTTAATATTACATTCAGGTACACATTTTTCCAGCAATGAGATCGCAGCAGCAGGTGAAGAATCTAGAGACTTGGTCGTATTTAGTGGTACATTTGTAAAAATCTCTTCAAAAGAAGAAGCTACCTCTGGGTCAGATTTTATTAATTTCCCTTTAACTTTAACATATAATCGGTTCGTTTGTCAGACGTTTTACCTGATTCTTCATTTATTATTTTCCAGGTAGCTTTTACTTTATCGATGCTATTTTTTATTTTTGAACTTAAATATTGTGATTTTGCAATTTTGCAATCTTTTTTGAAATTATTTGAATACAACCTAACATATTCCCTAAATTCCACACTAGTGTCATATTGCTTTTCGTCATACATTTCATATAATTTTAACCTTTTCCTGTGTAACTCCTCATTTGCCCAGTCACAGAAACTTGTTTTCTCAAAGACCAATAAAGTCTTTTGAGTAAATACTTTCTTGAATTCATCAATAATTAATGATCCAAAAAAAGTATTGTATAAATTATTAGGGGATGAGTTGCCACACAGAAATGGCATCCTATAGACCAATGCTTCTCTAAATCTGTCTAAACGGTCATTTGTAATAGGTGTTATCACAATTTTCTTCTTTTTACATTTTTTTTTCCTTAATTGGAATTCAAACCATTGACCAGTGTGATCAGATTTAAATCTATTGAAAATACAAACATTCAAAGGGGCTATGTCACAATATATATTATCTATACAAGTTGCGGTGCTAGCTGTTATTCTTGTGGGTGAATGAAATTGATTTATTAAATTGTATGAACGAAAAAGACTAAGTATGCGTACACTTGAATTAGAAT